ACTTTGTCTGTCCAACCGGTTTTGAATATGATCCGGACTATGTTGTTGCCTGAATCCCCATCAGTGAGTTCGGATACGGAGTGCTCGGTCGCTTGATGTTGTTCGAGAAAATGGGGTTTCTGGAAAATCTCCCCGCAAGCTGTGCATGGGAAGATATCATTACGTAGAGGGAAAAACGGGCAGTCCGACAAAATGTCGGATTCTGGACAAGACCCAGATTGTATTTGATGGCGCGGATGAACGTTATCTGAATCTGATAAATGAGTTTCAGGTGGGATAACCATGGAGACAAGGGATTGTTGGGAGTTTCTTGCAGAGGTTAACGCCGGTGTGGTTGCTGATGTCGGAGAGTGTGCTTGGACGTTGTTTTTGCCGTTGGCTTTGGAAATAGAAGAAAAAATGCGTTTGATAAAAGTCCAGGTGGAGGAAAGAGCTTTGCGGTGCTTGTGAGAATTAGGAGAAAGAGGTGAGGATTTGCGTTTCTTGGTTGGCTTTTGGTGGTCTTTAGCGGCGGAGAAAACGAAGCAGCCGAGGTGGAGAAGAAGGATAAAGAGAGAGGAATTTATTGAAGAATGACCCAATATTGGTTTTCGCCATTGATAGACACAAACAGAAAATTAAAGAGAAGTTTGATAGCAAAGTTCAAGCAGGGTGGGGATGCAGGTTTCAGGCCATCAAGCAAGAAGTCAATCGCGTTGCTGAGCGAAAGAGAGAGAATGATGAAAGGGAAAAGGAAAGGAAGATGAATTTGTAAGGGTGGGGGCATGGAAGAATGAAGATATGTAGAAGTAGGTGAAACGCAACTTCATGCCACATTGCCATACATTTTTCTTTTGGTTCAAACATTAGCATATAGTATGATCCCTCTTCCTCCCACTTTCAATTTCTTTATAAGATAATATTCTTATAAATAGTTATTTGTTAGGATTCGAATATAATAGTTACATTTCCTAATTTGATAGATAAAAATTACTCTATTTAATATGATATTTCGTAGATTTATAAGCATAATTGATCAGCTGTAGGAACTCCTATTGTTTTAGATAAAATCGTATTTAAAAAGTTTTAAGAACTACAAAATTCCTCAAAACTTTGTAAGAAATTTTGTAAAAAATTTAAAAACATATATAATTTTACCTTGTAAAAATTAATTTCACCTTACTATGAATTAGAACACGAAAATCCTTTTAACTTCATAAGGAATTTCATGTCGGAACTTGTAGGAAACTCGTGTTATCCATTGAGGTAGGGATTTTGTGACTTCGAGTTTTATCAAAAGTGAAGTTAGACGAGACAGATTAGGTCCGAACTAGATATGACCCGTTGAACCTGATTGAAGAGAAAATATTAAAAGTGATAAGTCATGGTCAGATGTACCAAAAGCCTATGATCAGGGCATACGATAAGAAGGTTCATCCATGAGAGTTTCACTAAGGATATTTGGTACTTAGAAAGAGTCTTCCAATTTAGAAAGATTTTCAAGGAAAATGGATGTCAAACTGGGAAAGACCTTATATGGTAAAAAAGGCATTCTCTACAGGAGCTTTGATCCTTACTGAGATGGATTGACCAAAGCTACCTAACTTTAGTGAATTTTGATGTTGTCAAGCAATATTTTTACCTTAAGAAAAAGAAAAAGAAAATAAAATAAGGGAAAAGAAAAAAATAAAAAATAAAACTATAATAAATAAAAAATAGGTTCAAGATTAAAATTCGTAAAGGAAGTCTTGAAATCAAAATAAGTCTCAAGTTGAAAACTCAAAAAGGGTGGCTTGAGTTTTGGACAAATCTAGGATTCGTGCAAGGTGAAGGCCATGGATTAATATTAAATAGGCAACATGTTCTTAAAATGAAAGATTTTGAAGTTAAAAATGGCACCAGTTTAAGTAGTACCACCAGATAGAGATCAAATTTGGGACTCGTGATTAAAAAGATCTCGTTGGAAGGAGCCAAAGGTCAAACTAAATGCAGTTGAGATTTGATAGCCCGGAGGGAACTTCACACCCTCGTATATTGTCTCAATTCTCGAGATCCTCTTCACATAAACTACACTAGAGTTACAATGAGGTGTGTCAGTTCAAAAGCATCATTACTCTTGATATTTGGGGGCACCTACTTGATTTTCTTTTATTTCTTTCACTTAAAAGTTTGTCATGTAAAAAGATAAAAATACCCTTAAACCATGTAACTCGATTTAGGGAATTTTTTTGTATGGTCTAATTTTGCTCTCGATTAAGAATGTTGATATAATCTCTCGTTGTATGTTTTTATGAGATTATTTAGCATGCATCAAATGAAATTTTTAATAGTGAATAATAATTGTATACATAAAATAAGAACGACTTATAACAAATCTAAAGAGTGAGATGACCATAAGTGGCATACATATTTAATTCATTAATACCATAATTTTATAACAATCTATCTTGATTTAAGCTAAATATTCATATTTTAGAGTTTACAACAAATGTTACAGTATAGATGAAACGTGTCATGTCTACATGACGAGTTTGTCCATATAATTTTTTTTATGTAACTCGTCACATCTAAGTGACAAATTCTAAAAAATATAATTTTTATTAAAATTTATCACGTAGAACTGATAAGTTCAAACGCCCACATAACGAGTTTCAAGTCACTGTAATAAATATCAAATTAATTTTGGAGATGACTTGATGATCAATTCTTTTATTTACCTAGTCTATTGGGCCAATTTTACTACTTTCCCTGCCATAGTTCATCCTGAAGCCCAATTTCTATGTTATATGTGTGTATACACACAACAGGTCAATCTTTCATGTAGAAGCTTACAAAAAATATTAGGCAGGTCGTTTCAAAGCATATATAATGATGGGGAATTAGAATAAATAATATTTTATTCCACGGCTCTTAGATAGCCATAAATGAAAGCCTGAAAAAAACTGTATCATACCTGAATATATGTCAGACTTGCAGCTGTATCATAAATTGGACTCCTTTAATTTTGTAGGATATCCAAACAGATGTTTTCATCAACATAAACTGACAAATTAGCAAGATATATTACGGATCAGATCAAGATTGGCTAAAACTGGTGATTTACCAAAATATACAAGAGCACGAAGATAAAACTTGTATCATAATAGCAAATAAAATTAATAGTCTTCAAATGAAGAGAATCATGTACTGAAGCCGAACCTGTAAATTTAGCAAGTAACATCAACATCAAATCTTTGGTTGTATGACTGATTGGATGCTCTAGTCACAAACAACTAGCAAATGAAGGCAAAGGGGTGCACACATCGAATTTATCTTTGGTTGTATGGTTGGTTGGATGCTTTAGTCACAAACAACTAGCAAATGAAGGCAAAGGGGAGCACACATCGAATTTGTGTGGAACTCGAGATATTTTTTTAATGAAATAAACATGTTTAAAAATAAAAAATAAATGAATTAAAAATTTTAGGTATAGCAATTATTAATGTCAGTTATTGATGGCGATTGATAGTGAAAAATAAAAAATTTTAGTATGATCTAATGGTTATTGATATTTTATTTTAAATTCAAAGGTCAAATTGATATAATATCTAAAATTTGGAAGTTAAATTAATTTTTATTTAAAATATAGAGTTTAAATTAGAAATTAATCAATTTTACTAATATTCTACATAATCAAACTAATATAATTTAACATATCGATGACTAAAATATTATAAATGGGTACAAAATGTTATTTTTTTTTGTAAAATTAAGTAATTAAATTAAATGCTTATAAACAAAAGTGATTATATCGACAGTTTATCCTTAAAATTATTATTTTTGATATAATTATATCATGGGGAGGAGATGTCACTAACAAAAACCCAAATACGATCTTTCTAAAAATTGTCCGACCAAATTAATAAATGCAATGGGACTTTGAGTTAAATAATAGTATTCAATTGGATAGGTAAGAAAAAAGTCGCAGTTGCGTACAAAAGCTAAAAACATTATGGCATGAAGACTTCGACTTGATCGCTTCAAATTTCAACAATTATATTTACATTCACGTCTTAAAAGTAAAAAGGATTTTAGTATTTTTTTAGTAAACTGATAAATATGATGAGATAGTAGTTTGTATGGAATAATATTTTGTACGGGTGTTAGAAAAATTATTTTTTTAGTTAGGATAAAATAAATTGCGCATGAATAAGTAGTGACGAATGTATATAGAATTTAGGATAAGCATGTGTCTATTATAGAATTTGAAATTATTTATGCTAGTTATTTATTTTATTAAAAATATTCATCTTGAAATTTTATTTGTATTCGTCTCATATGAATTTTTTATTATTATTAGGAAATATGTATTCACTATGAAAAATATTCTTGAATCAATTGTTGTAAAAAATGATGGTAAGGTTATCTAATGTCTTTGAAAAGACGTTTAGAAGATGCATCATCTTCCCCAGGCTGCATGTAGTATGAGAACACCGTCCTTAGCAGCATATCAACTTAGAAAATATTATCGTATGATAGCATATTATTGTCATCATTAATTTTTAAATGTTGGATGATAAAAATAGAATAAAATGTAAGATTAGGAATAATTTAAAAATAATAATAATTATATGACTAAATATAAATTAAATAATAGGTGAATGATTAAATGTGTAAATTAAACTATTTTTTAAATGATATTTGTAAATTAAATTATTGCATGAGAAATGTGAAACTAGAATTTTTTTTTTTTTGAAGAGATACCTAAAGAAGAGAAGTCAAAAGTAATCCAAATGTCAATTAACTTGACAAAAAATTTCTGTCAGAATTAATTGAGAGGATAGATATAACAATTGTAGATTTGGACTCTGTGTCTAAGCCTTTAAAATATGATTGAGAAATGACAACTACAGTAACCCTGGTGTCATTTATGATATTTCCCCCCCCCCACATTTAAGACTCTTTTAGACTCTAATCAACTAGCCTAACCCCATCTCTATGCTATAAAACCTCACCACTATAGAAAACCCTTGTCAAAAATCATGGCCGGAAAACCACACAACCTCAAACATTTCCTTTCATTGCAAAAAATACTGCTCACCAGGTCTTGTAATAAAATATTCTTTCAGAGAAAAGCTAGCAGTTCCCAATCCAACAAATACCTTTTTCTTGGAAATGGACAAGAAATACCTTTACACAAAACATTGATGTTTCATATGGAAGGGGCACTTTTGAAATCATCTTCAATGTTCCCTTACTTCTTTCTAGTAGCCTTTGAAGCTGGAGGGCCCTTAAGGGCAGCCATCCTCTTTCTTTTGTACCCTATCATCTGTTTGATGGGTAAAGAATGGGGTCTAAAGCTTATGGTTTTCGTTTGTTTTGTGGGATTAAAAGAGGAAAGCTTCAGCATTGGGAGGACGGTGTTGCCCAAGTTCTTGTTAGAGGATGTTGGGGATGAAGGGTTTGATATGGTAATGAAATCCGGTGTTCCAAAAATTGCAGTCACCGATATGCCTAGAGTTATGGTGGAGTGCTTCTTGAAAGACTACTTGAGGATCGAAAGTGTTGTAGGGCGAGAGTTGAAGGTCTTTTGTGGATATTTTATAGGGTTTATGGAGGACCAAAATGCAGGAGGGGAAGGGAAAATGGACTCATCTGTTATTGGCATCAGTTGCTTAAACAGCTCTCTTCAGCATCAACTTTTTTCTTGTTGCGAGGTTTGTCATAAATTCTTCATGTTGTTTTACTACTTTATTGTCATTAATTCTGATGTTATTTGTATCATTTAGGTTGTTTATTTGGTAAGTGAAACCGACAAGAAGAACTGGGGTGCCCTTCCTAGGGAGAAATATCAAAGACCCTTGATTTTCCATGATGGAAGACTGGCTTTAAGGCCAACTTATATTGCTGCTTTATTCATTCTCATGTGGATGCCCTTTGGAATTTTCCTTCTCCTTGTTAGAGCAGCACTCTTTTTCTTGTTACCGTACAAGTTGTCCATGCTATTCTTATACTTCACAGGTTTGAAAGGCACGTTGATTATCTCCAACGACGGTCGTACCGTCAAGGAGCTAAAACGATTAGGTGAAGATCGTGGTGTGCTTTTTGTATGCAATCATAGAACTCTGCTTGACCCGATCTACCTTTCAATGGCTCTAGCTCAAGTTCGACCTCCTAGTCTGAGTCTCACCGCGGTCACGTACAGTTTAAGTTGGGTATCAGAGTTTATTTCACCGATTAAGACGATTCGATTAACAAGAAACAGGGAGAAAGACTCGAAGATGATAGAAAAACAATTGAAACAAGGTGATCTAGTTATTTGTCCCGAAGGAACCACTTGCAGGGAGCCGTATTTGCTGAGATTCAGTCCATTATTCGCCGAGATAACTGACGACATAGTTCCGATCGCCATTGATTTCCATGTGAACATGTTCTATGGAACAACAGCCGGTGGGTACAAATTCTTAGACCCAGTTTTCTTGATCATGAATCCAACAACCCATTGTTATGCTACAATTCTTGAGAAGCTACCAAAATCATTTACATGTCGAGGAGGAGCGAAATCAAAGTTCGAGGTAGCCAATCATGTGCAGGCACTGATTGGTAAAGCCTTGAACTTTGAATGCACATCCTTAACAAGAAAGGATAAGTACATGATATTGGCAGGCAACGAAGGAATTGTGTAGCTCTTTGTATATGTTATAATCATGCCATCAATACCAACACAAATTCAAACCAAAAAACAAAACCTCTTATAGTTTGCTTCATTATTTTTCTTTGTTGAAGATTGTTCTAGGAAAGAGACATGTTGGGCATTTGGATAGTTGAAAATTAATTGATTGTTGATGATCTGTAATTTGGTTTTTGTTTCCATTACGGAATTGTTGTGATAATATCAAAATAAACAGAAACATCTCTTTGATTAAACATGTTGGTTTTTAGTGTCACTTTGGCCTACTGCAAAATGGATAGACCTTGTGGGAGGTTTCAGATTTCTTTTACTCAAACACTACCTTAATTAAACTTAGCAATTTATGTCGAATTTCAACATAAAAAATTTAAAACTTTTAACTCAATTCGATTCGGTTTAATTTGTAATTTTATGATACTAAAAAAAATTTCAAAAATGTTACGAGTTATTAAATAAGACTCAAATAACTCAAATATTTTTTAATAATTAGTGAAATAGTATTCAAGTTCAAGTCGAGTCTCTTAACTCTGCATGATATATGTATATTATTTATGAAAATATTATATGTATATCGTATATGGTTATAAAAAATTGTTTAACTTAGAATCAATTAATATCATAACATTTTGAATACTTACAATCAAATTCAAATAGAAACTCAAATAACTCTAATTCAAATTTTATAAACTCGAATAGAAATTTTTTAAATAAAATTTGAATTATAAAATGAATTTAGTCAATTTATCTAACTTGAAATTTCTTTATTCAACACAATTTGATTCGATCGGATATTCACCTACAGTGAAAACATATAGAATTGTATACCATGAAAGCATTAAATATTTTTGACGTTTGAACTTCATAGTCAAAACCCTTTTTATCCTGTGTGTTTCAAGATGGGTTTCCTTGTCTATTCACATAATCAATGAGCCCTAATCAATATTTTGACTTAGATCGGATATGCAAGCAGGACAGCTTTCATAAATGAATATTACGTGTTTAAAAGGTTGATGAACGAAGCATCAAGAATCAAAATCCTCATTCTATAAATGTATATATATATATGACAATTAATCAATTTTATTGATGACTGACACTAAAACAACTCGAAAAAAAATGTTGATCCACACATATTGGAGGACACACCAGTTACTGTGGGGTTGTGTTTTATTGTTGTATGAGGTAGTTCTGCAATACATTTAAAATTTACGGTTAATTTAAGATGGTTTTTAAATTAAAATATTATTATGTTCAACTTAAAAAGTTATATAAATTTATAATATTTTCGTTTGTAATCGAAAAATTATATTACGGGAGGTTTAGAGCTTACAACTGAAAATATTTTGAAATAAGTAATATTTTCGATTGTCAACCGAAAATATTATGAAAAATATAATATTTTAAATTCCAGTTGAAAATATAAATATTATGAAGAACGTAACATTTTAGATTGCGTCTAATTTAAATTATTATATTTTTGATAACATTCTCAATCTTTATCTTATTTCTATCGTTTTTTTTATCTTACATTAACCAGTTTTATTTTACATTTTTCATATTGTATGGGACAAACCGGTTATTGTGGAAGTTTTGAAATAATCACTCAGGCAGAAATGGCTGCCTATACATTTGTTTCATTTTCAGCTTTCCAGATGGTCAACGAAAAAAATAATGGCGGATAAAGAAGCCAAGGGTCTACCAGGTAGAATTAATAGGGCTTTATGATAATATAAAATTTTCTCTACCAATAAGTATTAAATGTTTTGGTAAGTTATATTAAATTTCTAATAAAATAATACAAATTTAAATATTTTTAAAGATCATAATATTTGATATCTTTAATATCAGAAATTTAAATATTTTTAAAGATCATAATATTTGATATCTTTAATATCAGTTATAATATAAATATAAAAAATATAAATGATAATAATACAATATAGAGTGGAATAGAATAGGTCAAACTATGCCCCATCATTCCTCTACATCTAAATGAAGTTTGAGATTAAGTGGCATAAATAGATAATAATAATAATAATAATAATAATAATAATAATAATAATAATAATAATAATAATATAGGATGAAATAAAATAGGTCAAGCTATGTCCTATATATCAAGTTTTCCTATTTAAACAAAATTTGAGATTAAATCATTGTATTTATTAGAAGAGAAACTACTCCAAATACAACTGAATTTTATCCTCTGATTTATCGATACCATCTAATTTTTAATTTTTTTAATTATAACATTAAATTTTAATTTTGCATTCAATTATAACGGTCATTGTATTTATTAAAAGAGAAACTACTCCAAATACAATTAAATTTTTTCCTTTGATTTATCGATACCATCTAACTTTAATTTTTAATTATAAAATTACAATTTAGTTTTACATTAAATTATAACATTTTGCCGTTAAGTCAGTGACATGAAGATGACATGGATAATGGTTGTTGATGTGGTCTGCCGTACCAAAACAATGTGATTTTGGCGATGCTATTGTTTCTCAAAACAACCTCATTTTAGACACTAAACTTTTAGGGGTGAATTGATTTTGTCATTTGAACTTTCAAATAATTTACTTTTATTAGCACTACATATTGCAGTTGTCACCGCTGACCAAGCACAACCTGTCATCGATCATATTTTATAGCAAGATTGGTATCAAAACATTTGCATTTCACTCATCTCTCTTATCGTAGGATTGCTTTTCCACAAAACTCACTCAAAATTGACGAAAATCCTTTTAAAAGTTCGACGTATTGATATTTCAACCTCTTTCAATGATCATCAAATGAGGTTAGTTTTGAGGTACGTTGTTCGACTTCTGGAAATAATGCTTCTCATCGTTATGATTTTTGAACAAACACCCAAAATTTTATAAATCTAAGAAAGTCTTCAAATATAAAAATGATATTTTTTTAATTTCATTGATTCTGTGGATTTCGTAAAAATAACTATTCCTATAAAAGAATGAAGAGTGAAATGCAAAAGTTTGGTATCGAATTTTACCGCAAAAGGCGATTGGAAACTAACAATGATTGGCTATCGATGAGGTCCAAAAAGTACAATGCCAAAAAAGTAAATTTTTTAAAAGTTTAGTGAGAAAATCAATACACTCTTAAAATTCAAAGTCTGAAACAATGTAGTTTTAGGAATCATAATGACCATACCAAATCGATGTTGTTTTGGTGTTGCAGGTTACGTCAGCAACCATTAGTCATTTCATCATCCCGTTAGTAACTTAACGACAAAGTGACATAATTGAATGTATAATTAAATTTTAGTGTTATAATTGGTAAAATTAAAAGTTTAATGATACAAAAGAGAGAGTAAACAAAGTTATTTAGTATCTGTATAGTTTACCCTTTTATTAAAAATATAATAAACTATACCATTGACCACCTAATTATTGCCCCTTTCATTTTGACCATCATTTTTGAAATTTTGTCAATCAAGTCACCTAGCTATTTAAATGCATTCAATCAAGCTACTTGTCGTTAACATTTGACCGAAGTGATGTGGCAGTTAATAAAATTGGTATAATTATACATTTAGTCACTCTTACTTACATATTCTATTAATTTATTCTTAATTTTAATAAATTAAGATAAAATTAATTTTTCAATTGGATGGTGCCCACTGGTGGAAAGAAAATTAGTTCGCAAAATAAGGGGGACACGGGATTCAAACTCAAGTCATTTAGGAGATAAAGGAGAAGCTCAACCACTAGGCCAACTTAATTGATTAGTTTAAAATAGATTACATGTAGTATATATCTTATATCTTAGTGTAATCATAAATTCTTAATATTATATATATCTTAACTTAAAATCACTTCTTGATATTAAAAAAATATAATTTATTCTTATCTTAACTAAAGTAAAAAATATATATTAATCTTAACTTTAAAAAATATAATTTATCTTTACATTAACTTAAATATTTCTATTTTATTATTACAATATTTTAAAATTAATATAAAAATAATATATTTATTAAAAATAAAACAAAAAATATAAATATAAAATTTTAAAATAAATAAAAAATAGAAAATATATTTTTAAATTAAAATAAGAATAAAATATATTTTTAAATTAAAATAAGAATAAAATATATATTTTAAATTAAAATTATAAAAATAATACTTAATAATTTAAGGTAAGAATAGAATATATTTAATACTTTAAGTTAAGAATATAATATATGTAATAAGTTAATATAACAATAAAATATACTTTAAAAGTTAAGATAAGAATAAACTATATATTTTTTAATTTAAGATAAGATTAAAATAGTTTGTTAGTTATGATCAGAATAAAATATATTTAATAAGTTAAAAAAAATTTAATGTTAAGATGTAAATTGTATTTAATATGTGAATTTAAGTTATATATATATATATATATATAATATAAATAATTAGAAATTTTGTTATTTTTCTCTCTTTTTCTTTAGTCTTCGATAGTCTCTTTTCTTCTTCATTTTTTTGATCGACGGCGACATCAACCTTGGTGCTGATCGCCAACAATTAGTATTCGTTGTTTTCCTTTTCTTTATTATATTATATCTTTATTTTTTTTCTTTTTAATAATTTCGTCTTTATGGCACGCCATCTTCTATCTTTATGGCACGTTATCTTCTGTCTTTATGACACTTTTTTCTCTACCTTTATGGAACATTCTCGATCGTTTGGCTAATATTTTTGTTTATTATTTTTTTAGGGTTAGATTTGACATCTTCCCTACTTTGGATCCTTGGATTAGAATTGGATACACGATTTACGTATGTGGATAGTATTTTCACATTGCTCAATTCAGATTTGTGATTTGTAATTGGCCTTTCAATAATTTCATCCCCTTTTGTGGTTTGTTTACCGATGCGATCAGATCTATTTGTATTTACCTTTTAACCTTTTTCTTGTACGGTTCTTGTGGTCTTAAAGTGACTAGTTTTCTCTTGTTTAAGAAAATATTTTTATTATGTGTTTAGTTTA